GAGGAGCCGAGCTCAGGTCTCGAGAATGGTTCTGATTGCGCTGGGAATGAGTCCTCAGACGTTCCCCTCCTTGATCGCTAGCTCCACCATGACGTCTTTCACGGTCTGATCCATCAGGGGAATGATTTCCTGGGGGTAGGCATGCAGCTGGTGCCACAGCTTGAGGGTTGACGGGTAGGCCTTGAGGTTCCGCGCGTCCAAGTTCATGCTGGTGACACCCAGTTGGCGCATCACGTTCAGCATGTTGATGTACTCCTTCACCTCGGCCGCATCGCCCATACGGCGAGTCTCGTCATCACTGGCCCCATCCCCCCACAGTCGATATTTAGTGGCGAAGTTGTATAGGAAGCTTTTGAATGCCGACATAGAGTCCTGGATCGAGATATTCGTACCCCAGATTACACGGGTGGAGCTGCCACCGAGGGCTTCAGCCTCCGAGGTGTCCGGGTGAATGTTGGAGAACGTCGCGTCGGACTGGGGCTCGTCAGTGCCGGCCGGCATGCCGTTAGCATCGACGAACACTCTGCGTCGACGACTGGGGGTAGACCGAAGCCACCCGAGTCAAGATCATTGCGGCGGGGCGCGGTGCGCTGGCCACCGGTTGCGGAGCGGGACGACACAAACAGGCCGCTGCTGCTGCTGGGGATATCAGATCGTCCCACTGGACGGCTGTGTGCACGCGTGGGGCTGGAGCTCGACATGTATCGAATGGGCGACGAATCTGTCCGGCGGTTAGTGATCAGGGGCCATGTCAGGATCTTTATCTTATATACCTCTCATCGCCTGTCCATTCCCCCGTGGTGTGGTCTCCCCGTCATTCATCGACGAGGGCGCTCGCACTGGTGAGCTCGGTTCATCCATCCTGGCGTCCGGGGTCTGAGCAGCACTGCTGTTTGCTTTCGACGGCGAGGACTGGAAGAACATGGGAGACGACGACGGCACGGCGGCTTCACCCCTGATGCGTCTCGAAGCGCGAGGGGTTGTCTGCAACTGGTCATCTCCCCCGGGAGTCGGACTGCTGGTCTGGGGTTGCTGGCGAGAACGAGTTGAGCGGGCAGGAGAATCGGTGGCCGAGTCCCTCGTTGGGCGACCCCTTCGACGGGAGGAGGCCGCGAAGACATGGCGAGTCGGTCCTAAAGGACGAATTGCTGCTCGGACTGTTTTTTAAGACTGGACAAATAAATCGTGAGAAACTTGGTGGGGTATAGGAAATCAAAGAAGCAAAGGGGTGTGGGATGGAAGGGAGTGCAGCCAAGGGACGAGTTGACGTTGGAATGGAGATTGAGATTGATCGATTGTGGCTCATTCTCCGCCTCAGTAATTTTCATGCTGGAGCTCGACGCGTGACACGCGACCCAGACCGCCGAGGACGCGTTAAGTGGTTTCCTCTTTGGGACGACGCGATGGTCCACGAAGCACGTGATGCCGATTATTAGCTTATGTAAGCGTCTTCCGCCTTTCCTGCACCGCCTCCCATGTGGCGTCCAATCAGCACTCGATTCGTGGATCAGCATCCATGGTCAGGCCGAGTTTTCCCCTGTTTATTTGGCCTGATTAGGCAGGCATCGACGAACCATCAAAGAGAAACCCCCGGGTATGGAGGACTTCATCCTGGCAGACATGAAACCCCATGGCTCTACTGGATGTGGTTCAGGATAGATTCTCAAAGTACGAATCTACTGTTACCCTGGGGTGATCACGTAGCGAGGGACGTCCAATGCTGATCCTTCTTTTAAGTTACCGCCGATCTGGCTGTGCATTTGTAGTTTCCTCTCCGTACTAGAAAGCCTCTTAACGATCTGACGAGTTCAATATATATTGAAACCATCTGAGACACGATCGGTTATCCGAGAGCGTCCCCGGATTCACTTGATTGTAGAAGACAAATTGGGTTTATTGTTCAGATCCATGCTGTGTGGTATAGATTGGCCTCGGGAGGTCTCTCTCATGTGTATTCCGTAGTCTGGATGGTCAATGTGGGAATTCTTCTTTCTATATTGTAGCGATTGGTATTTGAGATAATCTGATCTCTATCTGTCTTGTACTGCATCCAGATCAAAAATATAAGACCTGTCAGTCCATCTCAGTCTATAATAGGGGATCCTTCCCCTTACTACTATATCTCATGGTCGGACATCCCTACTTTGTGGTTCAGGATTCGTGAGAGAGCGCCAACGTCTCGTCTCACATATGCAGCTGCTCGTTTCCATTGATCCATGACCTTTGCTTAGCTAGAAGCCCAAACAAAGCGGGGTCCCAACGGTCCAATTGTTTCTCGATCGATCCAGGAACGAAGTAACCCAAGAGAAAAAACACGAGGGACCAGGAGGCTAAACCCGAAGGGGAACAGAACAATCAGGACCGGTTGTGGTAATATGTTGACTCCCCACAAACAGGAAATACTCGGGACAATCAAATATGATCTTGGAGGTCACAAAGACAAGCTCGCTATAATTAACCAACAAAGGTGCGACCTCTCGATTAGCGCCCCGAAATCCTACACAAAGGATCACAGGAAAATCAAAAAAAATATCAGGGACGACCACCCTTGAGCCAAAAGGGTTTAAGCAAGCGCCAACCGTCTAGTTTCAGCAGGCGCTTGATGTCATTCCGAGCCCAATTGGAACGATCATCCCCTTTTCCCTGAACCACCAGGTTACCCAACCCTTTTCCACAAATAACGGCGCTTCTTCACATTAGACTTGGCATCATCCCGGGTCTGAATGGTTGAAAGGACTTAATAGTTGGTGCCACTGCTGTCATGTCCTTTGTTGATAACCCTTCCTTTTACCCTTTGTAGTGCGTGGTGATTTGTCTCTTCTTAGGCTTCTCTATTCTTTTCCTTCCTTTTCTCCGTCTTTTTTCTTCTTCTTTGCCTTTCTATCCTCAGTTCCTTTTCCTTTCTGGAAATTTACCCACTTCCGCGCTCCTGGTTACTCGATTACTTCAGGGTGACGCTGCCTGTGTTGCCGAATCGATCGCCCCAAACTTTTTTTGTCCTTCTGCCCTTCCACTATTGAAATCGGCCCAACCCTCTCACCGCGTGATGCATGGTCTCACCTCCCTTACTTGTATCTGGGTGTAGGACTTGGTCTTCTCTAATCCGACTGTCTCCGTCACCCGCTTGAGTCCGCCCCCGTGGGGACTGCCTCTGCAATCACCATGTCGAACATGTCGAACATCTCGAAGGACCTGGGTTCCGCCCTGGAGGAGGCAGGCCATACCGGTCAGAAAGCGCGGGAGTCTCGATCAACACCTTCCTCGCGTCGTTAGCGACGGCGATCGTTGTCTTTGCCGTCGAATTCATCCTATTTATGCTGCTGAAAGGAAAACTGACCCGCATCTAGTGAGTTCCTTGGTACCCTGGTGGATCTGGAAGCGCGCAACATCGCTAACCGTGCATTGCTTCTTCATAGTCAACCCAGGACATATTTGGTCCCCGACAGAGAACGTACCGAGCCGTCCCCATCGGGCTCTTTCGATGGGTCGTTCCCGTCTTCCGTACCTCCAGCTCCCGAGTTTATCCAGAAATGCGGTCTCGACGCCTACTTCTTTCTGCGATACCTACGCATGCTTCTCAAAATCTTCCTACCTCTGGCTTTGCTGATCCTACCCATCCTTCTTCCCCTCAACCAAGGTCGACGGCAAGGACCAGACGTTCAAAAATGGCACGGATAGCGGTCCACGCTGGAATGTCACGGGTATGGATCGACTCTCCTGGGGCAATGTCGCCCCGGAGCACTCCATCGCTATTGGGGCCATCTGGTCATCGCCGTCATTGTCGTCGTCTATGTCTGTGCCGTGTTCTTCGACGAGCTGCGGGGCTATATCCGTCTACGCCAGGCTTACCTGACATCTCCTCAACACCGACTCCGTGCATCGGCGACCACGGTTCTAGTAACCGCCATCCCGGAACGCTGGCTGTCGGTGGACGCCCTCGATTCACTCTACGATGTCTTCCCCGGTGGGATCCGCAACATTTGGATCAACCGGAATTTCGATGATTTGAATGAAAAGGTGAAGGAACGGGATGCCCTGGCTTTGAGACTCGAAGCCGCTGAGACCGAACTGGTAATCAAATGCAAAAGAGCCCAGTTGAAACAGGCCAAGGCGGCGGCGAAAAAGGAGGGGAAAAGTGCGGCTGAGGTCCAGAAAAAGGAAAAAGAGGCCGCGGATCGAAAAGCATCCCGTCTCGCCATGGAGGCTGGTATCAGCTCCGGTGATCCACACCAAGCCCACACCCTCAACGAGGTCTTGCACCCGTGACCAATCGTCGTCGCACGCCTCCGACGCCGGGGCTGGAAGCGGCTGAACCCCCTCGATCCCGCCATGGCGGCCGCGGGTGCAGTTGGTCACGGGTGGGATACCTCGGGAAATCCGTTCTTGGGGGGTCAAAAAGACTGATGGGACCTTGGCGGCTCAGAAGGCGCCCAGGGGCGGGCTCATAGCTCCCCCCCACCCTCAAGAAGGGTCGAATAATAAGGATCGGCGCAAGTCGCGCTCATGGCCGGATACAATGGCGGATGACATGGATCCGTTTCAAAACAACGAACGGGATGACCGACCCAGCACTTCGGCGACGCCGCCAAACACAAAATCCAGGCCGCCCTTGTGGAAGACCCGGCCCTCAAATCATTCGAGAGTGAGCAACAAGACGGAGCCCGATGAACTTCCCCTGACCGCCCCGAGACACCGACGACACCGACGAACGTGGAGGAAGTATCCGGGTATGAACAGGACGAGACCTCGATGGAATCAGTGGCCCGCGAAAAGAGTCGTGCGGACGCCCAGAGCGATCGGAAAGAACGGAAAGTGTCTGAAGATGAGTACCCAGCTGCGTACAACGCGGACTTTGACAAGGAAGACTTTGGGGAGCCGGCGTGAAGAAGTATCTGAAAGACAAGGACCGCGAGACCATGCGCCTGCCCGTATTCGGAATCAGCTGGATGCCCTCCCTCTGGCTCATGGGAAAGAAAGTGGACACCATCGACCACTGCCGAAAGGAGCTCGCTCGTCTGAATTTGGAAATCGAGATCGACCAACAGAACCCCGAAAAGTTTCCCCTGATGAACTCAGCCTTTATCCAGTTCAACCACCAGGTAGCGGCACATATGGCGTGCCAGGCCGTCAGCCACCACACGCCTAAACAGATGGCGCCCCGGATCGTGGAGATCTCGCCGGACGACGTCATCTGGGACAACATGTCACTCAGGTGGTGGGAGCGTTATCTGCGAACCTTCGGCATCCTCACACTCGTTTGCGGATGGTCGTCGGTGGGCGTTCCCGTGGCGTTTACGGATTGCTTTCGCAATTGGCCTACCTGGAGGATGCTTTCACCTGGCTCGCTTGGCTTGCCACCTTACCCAACTGGCTGGTCTCTGCCATTCAAGGTATCCTGCCTGCCCTCTTTCTCGCAATCCTGATGGCGTTGCTACCTCTCATGCTGCGTTTTCTGTGTCGCGCGCAAGGCCTTCACACCGGCATGGGTGTGGAACTCACGGTCCAGAACTACTACTTCGCGTTTATGTTTGTCCAGCTGTTCTTGTGGTTGCGGTCTCATCCAGTTTTTCCACAATCATCAACAACGTGACCAACGTCACTTCGTGGCCGGAGCTCTTGGCTCAGAACATTCCCCTGTCCAGCAACTATTTCTTCTCGTACATGATCCTGCAGGCCATGTCGGTGAGCGCGGGTGCGCTGGTGCAGATTGTCAACCTGGTGAGCTGGTTCATCTTCGGGCCGATGTTTGACTCCACCGCCAGGACGAAGTGGGCCCGAACCACCAACTTGAACCAGATGCAGTGGGGGACCTTCTTCCCGGTCTACACGACACTCGCGTCGATTGGCCTGATCTACTGCGTCATCTCGCCCTTGATCATGGTGTTCAACGTGCTCACCTTTGGCCTGTTTTGGTTTGTCTACCGGTACAACACCCTCTACGTGACCAAATTCCGATTCGACACGGGCGGGCTGTTGTTCCCTCGGGCGATCAACCAGTTATTTACTGGGATCTACGTGATGGAAGTCGCCTGATCGGCCTCTTCTTCCTCGTCCGCGACGTGGATGGCACCGTTGCCTGCGAGGGTCAAGCGATCTGTATGATCGTCGTTCTCGTCCTCACCATCGGATATCAGATCTTGCTGAATGAGGCCTTTGGGCCGCTGATCCGATATCTGCCCATCACGCTGGAGGATGATGCTGTTCGTCGGGATGAGGAGTTTGAGCGCGCTCAACGGACACGACTTGGGCTGGCCCGCGATGATGACGAATCGGATGTCGTCGAGCCTCGGTGGCCCTCAGAACGACAACCGAGCGGATTAACGCCCGAGATTGAAATGAAGCAGATCGAGTCCGACGCGGGGCGGGGGACCAGCCAGAGAGAGGTCAGCCCGGCGCGCTTGATGCCTAGGCGCCAATCATGGGTCGATCGGTCTCCAAACCAACGATCGAAGTACTTTGGGAATAGCTCAAGTACGTCGGTCCCGACTATACAGCGTATCCAAGAAGATATGGCGGAGGATGCGGAGTCTCAAGACCCCTCTCCGCATCGAGCAGGCCGCGCGCTGTTTGCCGGAATTCAGGACGAGCTCGAAGATCTGACGCCCGACGAGCGCGATCAACTGGTCCAACGAGCCTTCCAGCACGACGCCCTCCGTGCCAAACGACCGGTGATCTGGATTCCCCGCGATGATCTGGGAGTCAGCGACGACGAGATCTACCGCACGCAACGATTCAGCAAGCATATCTGGATCAGCAACGAATACCAGGCGCTCGACGGCAAGTGCCGCACTATATTCAGCCGCAGTCCGCCAGATTTCTCCGAGGTCGATCTGATCCAGCTTTAGCGGTGGGGCTTGATAATTGTATATGATAAGACTAGACTGGGGTTCTCTTTTCTTTTCCTTTGGTGTATGTATAGAGGGAGTTGGCATGGACAGTTGAGCGAGCGGGTTGATTTTCTCTATCCCATCGACTTGCATTGCAGAAACCCGAGCGGCAGGATCCCTTGGTTGATTGCATATACGGCGTTTTAGTATTTATCTACGGTGATGGACGGAGGCCGGACTACACATAGAACAAGCCCATGGCAGTATTCTATCGTTTTCCCAGCGTGTAGTATGTTTGAATAGACTGTACCCATGTCAATGTTGCATGGGTCAACACAAGGTGACACTGTATGTCTAGTGTCAAGTCCAATTCAGTCCATTGTCAAGACATGAAGTATCATAACCATATATGTACTAATCCATATACTTACACAACGGCAAGCGATAATTATCCACCATCCAATACGCCCTGCGCACGCCACTCCACTCACCCTCCAACTTGGGCACCTCAATCTCCTCCCACTCGACATCAAAGCCGCCTCAAACAGATCCATCTCCACCACCTTCTGATAAACATCATAACTAATCTGCCGATCCGCCCCATCCCATTAAAGAAACTCCACCGTCCCTCCTGCTCCAGCAACCCAATCACCTGCTCCGTGAAAAACTCCGGAAATCCCCATACGACTCCGCAAACGTATCGTAGTACACCGCGTCGAACATCTCCCCCTCCGCCACCAACGCCGGCAACACATCCTGCCACCGGCCCTCGTGGATGCGCACCCCAGGCTTCTGGTGCCACCCGCGCCGCTTCATCTCGGCGACCACGTCCGCGTGCGCCTCGATGATGTGGTGCTCGGCCGGCTGGCGGTCCTGCAGGAACTGGTCCACGATGCCCATGCCGTGGCCCACGTTGAGGACCCGCAGTCCGGGCGTAGGGAGCAGCTTCGCGGCGCTCTTCTTCATGATGTCGCTCTCCCACGCCATCATTACCCCGTTGCGGTCGGCGTCGATCAGTCGGTCGTTCTGGAAGGTGAGGTTCGAGTCGAGGTAGCGCGCTTGCGTCACGTCTGCGTCTGCCTCCACCAACTGCGGCGCTTCTTCGTCCTGTGCTGGCGCAGCCGACTCCGTGTCTGCAACACCCTCCTCTTGCTCATCCTCCTCAACCTCCTCCTCAATCTCCTCATACCCATCCAACCGATTCAGCAACAACTCCGCCCGAACCCCGCATCAACAACCATCTCATACGCCTCAGTCAACCCCAACCTCCTCGCCACACACCCAGGCGTCTCGCCATTCAAATCCAGATCATTCCAGATAGCACCCTCCTGCAAAAGGAACTTGACCGTCTCTGCCGCGGACTCGGCCGCGCTTTTCTTCTCTTTCTCCGCTTGTTCGCTAGCGCCGTTCACTGCCTCGTCTTCATCGTCGTCGGGCTCACAGGCGGAAATGGCAGCGTGGAGCGGGGAGAATCCTGTCTCTGGGTCCTTGACGTTGGCGGGGTTGGCGACGCCGGCTGTGAGGCGGATTAGACGGCGGAGTTTGGGGATGTCGTGTTGGGAGGCTGCGAGGAGGATTTCTTGGATGTCGAGGTCGACGTCGATGGTGGTTGTTGGGTCGGTCATTTTTCCGTTTTTTTTTTTTTTGTATGTGATATCGTTGTCTTTTTCTTTGTTGTTTGTTGTTTGTGGTTTGGTGCTTGCTGCTGTGGTTCGGTTGGTGATTAGAAAATTTGAATCTTGGGTAGTAGATAAGTCTGTAGGAAGGTGGGGTAGGAAGTGGTGGGTTTTCTTTCTCTAGACCAAGAAGGATTTAAAGGAACTGACCTGTTTCGTCCAGTAATGGCTACTAACTATAGCTGTAGTATACCACCGCTCAGAAGTAGAACAGTTCAAGTCTTAAAGTTTGAAGTGGAGTGAGAGCGATATAAAATTTCCGCCGCCGCTTTCGTCCCCGCAGCTCCGCCCGCAATCACCGCACTCCGTCAGCCAACTCCTACAATAATAGATAAAACTGTCAAAACGCATGTATTTTGATGTCGACTTAGAGAAGAGAAACATTTCGCCGATTGCTCGATAATCCTGAAGACAACTATTTGTACAAAAGACCGGGTCCTTCCTGGACCGCCCACGAGGCGGCTTCAATTGCGCCTGTATCACGCAGATTGCTGCTCAATTAAAATTCATTCCCCAGCCCCAGGGACCAGCTTCGCCGCTTCCAACTATAAACTAGACTCGTTGGTAATCTGCGTTTATCGCGTGTCCTCCGCTCCGGCGTTCACGTTCAACCCCAAACCTTGCGAGTCCAGGTACATCTTGTTCTTGCCGCCGTTCTCTTGCAAGATCGCGGCGATGTGTCGGGCGTTCTCGATCTTCCGCAGTTCGATGTAGCTCTTGCTCTTCTTGATCGCGTCGCCGATCAGTTCCGCCGATCGGGCCTCACCCTGGGCGCGGACGATGAATGCCTGCTTCTCCTGGCGAGCCTTGTCGACCAGGAACGCAGCCCGTTGGGCCTCCTGCTGGGCGACCTGCTTGGCTTCGACAGCGGCGGTGAATTCGGGGGAGAAGGTCAGATGCTACCATTGCCGACAAGTCAGTATATTAACACATCCCGTTCAACCTCGTATATATCACGTACCGTAAGAGACACATCGTCAAGGGCAATGTTGAAGCGAGCCGCACGGCGGGCCAGGTTGTCCCGGACGAGTCGGGCGACGTTCTCACGCTGGGTAATCAGCTGGCTGGCGTTGAACTGCGCGACAACGCTCTTGAGGACTTCGTTCACGATAGACGGGAGAACACGCTCGTCGAAGTCGTTGCCAAGGGTGCGGTAGATCTGTGGGAGAGCGTCGACACGGGGTCTGGACAGAACACGGCAGGTGATGTTGACCATCTGCAGGTCCTTGGTACCGGTCAGGGAAGCGATGTTGCGCGGCTTTGCGCGCACATCGTAGATGACGGGCGTTTCGAACCAGGGAATTCGGAAATGGGTTCCTATCAGAGTAGACAAGTCAGATACCCCTCCTTGTATTGTGATTTTCTCGGATTATCGCATACCTTCACTGTAGATCTCCTTCTTAACACCGCCTACCCTGGAGTATTTGATCGCACGGTGACCACCGTCCACTAGATTCGGGACCAGTCAGTAACATTTCTTTATCGGATTGACCAAGAGTCAATCATGAACAGGGGCCCAATACCGTTGAAGAGCGAGTCCGACACGACATAAGATCCAATGCCGACCAAGGGACAGTTCCCCAGAACTTTCCGCCGCCTTGACCACCGCCCGTGGGGAAACCACCGAAGCCTCCACCAGACCCGGTCTTCTTCAGCATCATCTGAAGCTTCTGCATCTGGTCCTTCGGAATGCGAGACATTGATGATAGTGTGGGGAGGGAAAGGATGAAGATGACTGGAGCGTGGAGGAGGAGACGGACGGAGGAGTGAGGAAGGAGTGGAGTTGAGGTTCTCTCCGGCAATTCAGCTCATTCCCTCACCGCCTGCCGGATCGGGCGGCCGATCTAGCCTCTCTTGCGTCGGGATTCTATTCTTCGGCTTCATGCTTCGTCCATCTCTTGCTTCTGCTTTCTGCTGTTGGCGTACATTTCATATTCTTTGTTGCTTGACTGCCTGTTGAAAGGGCGTAACTGACTGCAACCATACGAGCCTTACTCCCACCTTTTCCCCCGCGTTCTGTCCAATTCTGGTCAAACACTCCGCCGCGCTCTTTTCTCCTGCTCAACAACTAGCTGTGAATATCTGTCGGATTATCTGGCAAGATGGCTCCTGAAAGAGCTGGGAAGAGCGTGTTCCTCGGGAATATTCCGTACAGTATGTTCTATCTATGAGTCACTTCCCCAGCAACCTCAACTAACCACGCAACAGATCTCACCGAGGAACAGGTCAAAGATATCCTGAGCTCTGCCGGCACGGTCACCAAATTTCGCTTGATGATGAACCCCGATACTGGAAAGCCCAAAAGGATATGGATTTGCCGACTTTGCCGATGCGACGCGGCGGCCTCCGCAGTGCGCAATTTGAACGATTACGAGATCATGGGCCGCAAAATACGCGTGGATTGGCCGCACAACAACGAGAAGGACTCTGTCCCGCCGGACTACTCTCAGCCGCGCCGAACGTGCAGCTCCAGGGCCAAGACGGTCAATCAGGCGCGCAGCAGCAATCTGCGCCGCTGCCTCCCCTGCCACCCGGCGTGGAATTGCCCCCGCATCTGGACTGCCCGAACGCCATCTCCCAAACACTCTCCTCGCTCGCCCCCAACCAGCTTCTCGATGTCCTCTCCCAGATGAAGTCCCTGTCGATGGCGGACCCGGTTCGAGCCGCAGAGCTTCTGCGCCAGGCGCCTCAACTATCATACGCGATGTTCCAGGCTATGCTCCTAATGAACCTCGTCGACTACAGCACGCTCGGCTCAGTGGTGGAACAAGCGGCGCAACCAGCAGCGGCAGCCCCTCCTCCGGCTGCGCAGCCCTTCCAGCCCTTCTCGGCCGTTCCGGGCCAGGTCTCCACCCCCCAATGGTCGGCACGCCTTTTGCCGCACCGGCGGCAGCCCCTGCAGCTCCATCGATGCCCGGGCAAGAAGAGCTCCTGCAGCAGGTACTTAGCATGCCGCAGGCGGCGATCGATGCGCTCCGCCAATGGAGCGGAGTCAGATCATGGTGCTGCGGCAGCAGCTGATGCAGGGTGCCATGCGATAGTAATGTCGATTTGATGATATGATTGCGATGTCGGTACGGGG